GACCACAACACGGTCAAGGCGACTTCCCTAAGTCTGCTAAGTTTTTGCAAAACCATCAGGTTGACATTTGTTGTACGGTTTCGTAAGAATTGGCTAAGAATGCTTGCAGCTGAAGTTGAAAATACTTATAAGTATTTTTCTTGTCCTCCAGTGAGGCTATTGAGCCATTTTTCACTGCTTGAGAAACGGTTTAACTAATCTTGGGACATCTTGAGGACTTTGTTCAAAAAATTGGAACAGCCTTCAATTCTTGGGTGGATCTCAGCAGACACTTCGAAGATAAATCTTCCAAAGAGTTGGGGACGAATCTTTGGAAAACACATGGGGCGACGACTACTGCGTCACATGGATTTCCTTGGTGCGAGGATTAACGATTCTTCTTTTGTTGTTATTGCATGTTGTTCTCCTTCCCTACTAGACCAATCGACCACTTAGAGAGATGTTTTACGTTCACTGCCATAAACAAAGCTTCTTTTCTTTTGTGGTGGAAGAATTGCCACAGACGTGTAATTTCAGTAGGTTGGGACATTTAGTACATATTCTTGTCCAATTTTGATTTTTGGCTAAACATTAATCTAAGTTCACAAGTTTCTTGATTCCAAGCATTTAACAGACACATGGCAGTGCAACACAGAACTCTCCAACGTAGGCTACCCAGGACGATATATGCAGACCAGCTAGGCCGAACCGCGTCCTGCCAGTGGCAACTGTCACCAGCCATGGCGGGTAGCATCACTGGGTGGTCTGCCTGTGTCCTGCAGGGTTGTAGCGGCAGCTGACCTTGTGAAAGGTTGAATGACTTTCATATTCCATTGCAATTCTCACACCTCCCTCTGTGCAAGCGCGCGAGCGGGTTTCATGCACATGCGTGCGCCGGTTTTGCCATCCCGTGCAGGAGGCCCATACCTGCAATTACCGACATATACAATTCAGTTGGTTTCCTTTATTAGCAAGGATGCTACTAGTAACAAAGGGCATCGCTACTAGGAGCAAGGACACTACTAGTAGCTCCTGGCCTTACTACTAGTTACAAGAAGCTACTAGGAGCAAAGGGCATCGCTGCTAGTAACAAGGGCATTAATTACTACTAGGAGCATTCTTACGGCTTCTGTTGGCTTCCTTGCTTGACGGACCAGCTTTGGGCCTGAAGTCCAAGTGGGTCCTGCTCGGAGAGGGAGGGTCTGCTCGGTGTTTGACTGGGTGGTTGTCGACCGCCTCAAGTCCATTGTCATCCTCATCACCACCTTCATCCTCATCCCTATTTGCAGGTAACGTAAAGTCGTGCTGGGTTTCTTTTGGCACGAGTTTGTTCGTCGATTCACCACCGGGTTGGACCCGAACGGCTGTACTGAGAGGATGTGTTGAGGATGTGAATGCGCGCCTGCTTCGCGCCACTTCCTTGTGACCCAGCCGCTGTGAAAAAAACGCGCAGAGGGCGTCTTGTTGCACGCTGGCGCCGTCTTGTTTGGTCAGCGGTGAGGAATTCTTCGTGTATTTGTTTGCTTGGTCCAGGATGGGGTTTTGGGGTTCCCGGGCCGCTATGCGGGGATTCAAGCAGCGAGTGCCCAAAGCCGCCGAACCCAGACATGGCAGTGGCGGTGCGATGCCAAGGTTCGCTCTGGCTGTGAAGCCCCCTCCAATGACCAACAAAAAGGTGTATCCAGGCTGCCAGGCTGTTGAATGCCGCGTTGCCTTGTTTGACTTTGGTGGTCTGAGAGGGGCCGGCAGTGTTCGCGAGTTCGTGAGCGGCGCCCAAAGCGTTTGCAGTGTCCAGATAGGGAAGGAATGGAGAAGATTTTGGATGGGCGGACACGGCCCAGCAGCAGCAGACAGCAGTAAACTATTCAACCTTGATTGCTTCACCATTGTCTCTGGGGCCGGCACTCTGTCCACAAACATGTTCATTGTTATATATATATATAATCATCCTGGAGTAGATAGAATCTACTTTCGTAGGGGGTGTTTTCTTTTTGAAAAAACTCAGGGTTTTTGACATCCCTTTCATTTTATGAAGACTGACCCTATAGATAGAATATAGTGATAAGATTCTTATCAACTCCTCCCATTCTGGTATTTGCTCCTTTGTTATTCTCATGTTGTGTTCCTATGTGTATTATCTAAGCTTTCCTTTCCTTTTTTTCTTTTCTTTAGAACGAACAGAGAATAGAACGACCAGAGAAGGAAAAGGACAACAAAGGAAAAGGAAGAGAAGCCCCTACAACCATATTCTATCTATGGGGTTTGGAAGGGCCGGTTTTGAGGAGTGAATTGTTTTTTGAAAATTCATCCATTCTATCTACTCCAGGATGATTATATATATAACGTATTATTATGATGTTCCTCATTGTCACTCATGGCAATCTGAGAGATGCTACATTCGTGAACCCTCTGTCTTCCTCAAGTCGGAGGTCGGAGATGTCAGTAAAGTGTGTTGCATTCAGCTTGGTGGTTTCTGTCAACGTTTGTTCGACAGACGCTTTGGCTGGCCGAGGTGGCCGCCACTTTCTTGCTCAAACAAGTGATCAAGCCGTGAAGTCACCCGTTCTTCCTGGTCCGCCTCATTTGCCGCGTGAAGTCGCGTTGGCCTGGAACCATGGTTGTAATTGTCATGCAGCTTACGCGATCCTCAAGTGTTGTAGGAACTTTCTTTTCTCCCAACATTCAACGGCATTTCAGACCCAACATGGGCACAGGAAGCAGAAAAGGAACTCGACCAGCTCCCACCACGCAGAGAAGAAACCGGGGGGGTTTTCGAGCGTGGATGACGTGATAGAGGTTTGAGCGATGGAGCGGCAAGGATGTAGAGGCTCGATGCAGCTCAGATGTTGGGAGTTTCTTTTTCACCTTACGACGCAGGCCTGGCCCGCGTCGTTTCATGGTCTGGTGACCCTGGTGCCTGTTTTCACGTCGAACACGTCATCCCTACACGTTTTTCACCCAGCAAGGATGTGGAACCAGTGGATGTTGGTTGAACGCCCAGGAGTCGCGAGGAATTGAAACCATCCTTCCGAGAGTGCATTAGAGTGTATCGACACCCAAGGTCACTTTGGCCTGGTATGCCTGCGCAGTATTTACAGCCGCAAACCGAGCCTGGCTGTGTCGTTCAGAAGTTCGCGCTGTTCGCGCTGTTCACGGTTCTACCAGTCGTCGCAGGCTGCAACGCTCAAGAGGTCAAAACATCGAGCTATGCTGCTACCTGGCAAAATGAATGCAGCGTGATTCACAGCCTTTCAAAATAAGTATATAAAGTGCAGGAGATCGTCCTTCAACATGTCGTTCTCACCGATTCTCACTCAAAGGCTGTTACGTAGTATTCTCTTTAGGGGTTGTGTTGGCACACGTCATCAGAGAGCATTTAGATTTATATAGTTTGTGCTTTTGGACACTGAGGTCAGTCTTTGCCAACCTCGTCATAGGCCGTTTATTTCCTTGCACTAGAGGTCATCCGTCGCCGAGCGGCTCGGGGCTCCCATGGCTAGGTTGGCCTTTGATTACTCCGTTTGCCATGGCTGATGGGACGGAAGGTTGTGGGCGACTTGGGACCTCCACAGCGAAGAGGCAAATGGTTCAGAGTGTGTCCAGTTCTCCGAGGCCAGCGTTTGAAGACACATTGGCGGAAGGTTTTGCTCATTGCCGTTCTGGCGGGGTCAGAGAGCTTAGGATACCGAGCCAGGTCAAGCCTCTTGACAGTGAAATCGCTGAAGAGAATGCACCAAGGCTGGAAAAGAACCTCACGAATTCTTCCTTGTCATCGATTGGTGGAGCCTTAAAGACGGCCCAGTCCACAGGAATTTGGAGAGTCAACTGACTCACTAAGCTTCATTGATGTGGTACGGCTGAATAGGCACTGCATGGCCTGAATGTGGTTTTCACTTTCTTTGTGACTTGCCTGCAGTAGTCGCAAAGAAGTTTGCCAGAAACAGGTGCCAACTGTTCTTCTTGGGTTGTCCTAGTGTAGACGCAGATGGAACAAATTGTTTATTTCTTAATCAAAAGCTTGCAAAGAAGCAAGGTGGCTACTAGGTTGGAGGCCATCGCTCTTAGGTGGCTGCAATTGCCGGAGCCGATGATCGTGCTTACTACTGTATCCGGGGCTGCCGGTGTGGCCTATCTGCAATTGTGGCCTGGGCCGGGACCGATGTAGAAAGAATGGCATGACAGATTTGCCGTCAGGGGTCCCTTTCATAAGACACCGGCCCATCAAATGGGCTTTATTAACATGTTATAACCGTGGCCCTTCCCGGAATTATCATCTCTCTTTCCTTTCCTAAACTCTTTCTGGCTCGATGCTTCCGACCTCTGAAAACCCTGAGGCAGTGGAAATCTTCTTCTGACGATCAGCTTGATCCTAGTTGCCGCTGGGATGCAGCAAGTTTTGTCAAGGCTCCCGTCCCTCATTAGAACTATATAATTAGAATTGAATAAGACCAATTGGACTTACAATTTGAATTTAGTAGAATCCACACGGATGTTTGTATGTTTTTGTGTTGAGAAGATCAAGTGCCTCATTGAGTTCAGAACGATATATAGCCAGGAGGGGTTACCCACCCATGTTGGAACAACAGCTACACTGAGACTCACTATATAACATGGAAGGGGACAACCCCCTGTTCCCAGAGGAGACTGTTTTCCAAGGAAAATTTGTCACTTCCATGCAACATTGTTGCCATGTGGGCAGGATTAGACAGTACATAGCGAATCCACATGTTGCACTTCTGTTGCAGTCAGCTTTCTTGACTTCCACACTCAGTGCCGAGATCACATCTTCTCTTTCTCGCGTTTTTTCTCCCTGCATCTCCCTCAAGGTTCCGCAACTTTGGCTCGTACAGTGCGCACTGTAATTAGGGGTGGCTGGGTTTGGATGGGCACGATGCGATCATGATCTCTTTGGGGTCATGGGAGAGACTGCAGCAATGAACTGTCGCTTTTCGGCACCTCTTCGATGGCCTAGAGCTTTTGCCAGTTGGCCCACATGATGCATATTGATCATGATAAGTCCTGATCAGTCCACTGTAGACCAATGATTCTCCAGCCATGAACATATCACTCAGCGCTGTGAAGCTAAGAGGCGGGGCGGGGACAATGACATGTGAAAGAGATGAACAATATCCAGCTGACCCAACAGTTAAGCCGTCCTCGGGCCAGGAGTGCTTAAGCACGCTGAGAGGTCGGTGTCATGGCGACCGGAGGCCAGGGTTGCAACATGCATGTTCATTGGCACTGTTCTAGTGAGGTTCTTTGGCTTGGGCGTGTGTTTTCATGCGGTAGTTGCTGGTTGTCCGACAGCATTGTTGTTTGGTGTTATTTTATATAATTTATGTACGACCTCGTGTGAAGTGTGTCCTAGAGGACTTGAGAGTAGTCATCGCATGTCATTGCAAAGCTGAGGGTTTAGCTGGGCGGTGGCTGGTGATTGCATCAAGCGGGGAGTGCCTGCTGGACTATGTTCAAGGACACCAGTGCAGCCGAATATCGCAACAGGTAATCAATCAACACCTTTCAGCGAGACAAAAGACCGGGTTGGAGGCCATCGCTAGTAGGTTGGAGGTCATGGCCATCGCTAATAGGTTGGAGGCCATCGCCAGTAGGTTGGAGGCCATCAAGGTTGGAGGCCATCGCTAGTAGGTTGGAGGTCATGGCCATCGCTAATAGGTTGGAGG